GGCAAGAGTCAGCCCCACTCCTCCTTTTAGGCATCCCACATAACACCAAGCTTCTAGCCATAACATAATATACAGAAGAACCTAGGTCATCACTTACAGGCTTCTTGATCTCTGTGAGCCCCCATAAGTCCCTGTCAGTTGATTCTGTGGTGTCCCTGACCCCTCTATACTTGGGCTTTTAAAAAAAGTATGATAGGATCCAACTATACTCAGGCTTTGAATTCACTGTAGTCCAGGGATTGTCTTAAATTTAAAATCGTCTTGCCTCATCTTCCTGAGTAGCAGAGATTAATAGCTTGCCACAGCTTGCCCAGCAGCATTCTGATCCCCCTTTTTTTGGGGGGGGGCGGCGGCAGAATTTCTCTGTGTTGTCTTGGCTGCTCTGAAACTTTGTAGACCAGGCTGACCTTGAACTCATTGAGATCTGCCTGCCTTTGCCTCCTGAGTGCCCACCACGTCCAGTTATGATTCTTGATTATTTGTATGAAGGCACAATTTTCCATTTCTAAAAGCTTATTGAAGCTTCCTCCTCCCCACACTTCTTTAACACCCCCCCCCCCCCCCCCCCCCGGTTTTTTCAAGAGAGTGTTTGGTTTCTCTGTGTTACCCTGGCTGTTCTTGAACTTGCTCTGTAGACAAGGCTGGCCTTTGACTTCCAACTGCTGGGATTAAAGACCACCATTGCCTGGTTTACCAGATCTTCTCTTGTGTTCATTTTCTTTGTGATCTGTTTTTCTTTTTTGTGATAGGCATTTTGTGGACCCTTTTTTCCATTTGGGGATTGAATCCAGGACTTCATGGAAGCTAGGCTAGGGCTCCCCCATGAAGCTACACGTACAGCACATTAGTGGACATTCTTAATCTGACAGTCATGCCCTCTCATACTGGGAAATGTTAATTGGATTATTACATTAATTATATATATATTTTGCCCTTGATTTTGTTCTTTTAGGAGCTGTTTTTCATATTTGGGCCTTTTTAGTAGGCGCTTTAACTTTTGTTTCTTATTGTTTATCTCTTTAACTTTTACTGACTTAAAACACATTGTATCATTTCATAATAAGCTTTTTAAAAGTTTCTGTGATATGTTTTTAACTTTAAATTTAAAAATATTTATATATTTTGTCAGGAGTGATATGTATGATCCACAAACCCATTTTTAAGTTTTAAGAATTATTTCTAGGCCAGGTGGATATGGGCACCTGCTGGCCAAGCCGCAGAACCTTAGTTTCAACTCCAGAGCCCAAGTGGTGGAAGGAGAAACTGACTCCCACAGGTGTCCTTTAACTTCCACAGACACCTGTGCATGGGCGCACACAAACAAATGTAATGAATAATAAAATAATTATTTCTTAGTGTAAACAGAAGTAGAAGTATCATTTACTTGAGCCCACAAAGTTGAGACCAGCCTGGGTAACAGTGAGATATTGTGTAAAAAACAATAAAAGGAATTACTTCTAGTTTTTTTTTTCTTTGTGTTTTTCTGAGATAGAGTCTTCATGTGTAGTCTTGCCTGAAACTCGATAAGTAGACCAGGCTGGCCTGGAATTTGATGCAATCCTCTTGATATCACAAGCATGTGCCACTGTGCCCTGTATATGTTTTGTTTTAAAATATTTCTTTAAAAAAAAAAAAGGCCAGGCGGTGGTAGTGCACATCTTTAATCCCAGCACTTGGGAGGCAGAGGTAGGTGGATCTCTGTGAAGTCGAGGCCAGCCTGGTCCACAGAGTGAGTTCCAGGACAGACAGGGCAACACACACACACACACACACACACACACACACACACACACATAAATAAATAAAAAAGAAAAGAAAAAATATATATATACACACACACCATTGTGTTTTGCATATGTAATAGTTCCCTTAGATCTTTTAGGATAACAATAATAGTTCTTTAGACTTGAGACTTTTAAGGTAGTAATTGAAATATTTGCACGAAAATATTCTATAGAGAGCTCCTGCACACCTTTGACTAAGCTTTACTCAGTATGAACAGCTCTAAGAAGCTAACATTGGATATGGGGTGTACTCACTGGCAGGACATTTGCCCAGCATTTGGGGGCCCTAGGCTATTTAGTCCCAACGCACACAGAAAAGAAAAGAGAACAAAAGAAATTATCATTTATGAGTATTGTTTGCTGCAGACATTTTTCAGAGTTTACCCCTCCCAGCCCCATATTGTTTTCCTGTGGGGTAGCTAGATCATGATATTGCATTGCATTTGGTGGTTGTGTTCTTTACCTTCTGATCTGTGAACATTTTTTTAGCCTTCCCAAATGACTTTCAAGTTCTGAAGATTGGTCAGTATTTATATTATAGACTCTTCCTCAATTCAAATTTGTCTAGTATTTTCTCAGGCTTAGACTAGGTTAGACTAGGTGACTAGGGGTGGGAGTGGGGGATAACCACAGAAATGAAACTGAGCCCTTCTACCTTTTTCTTCCTTCCCCATAGTTATATTTTGTTTTTCATAATCTTTGGTTATGTGTTTTGTTTTGTTTTTACAAGTAGTTACTTATTCTTGCTTCTTTCATCTGGATACTTTCTTAGACATCTGGTAATACTTAATTGCCTACTTATATTTAGGAGGGTGGATTGAAGAGGTCATTAGAGCTTCTGACAATGTGAGTGGGCCTTACTGACTGTTAGCTGCATCGCAGGATGATCTGGGTCGGAAACTAGGTACCTCAGTGTTACTAGCTTAAGGCCCCTGCTAGTAATTGTCTAACACCCCCTCCTACCCCAGTGCTTTGCCTCTTCATATTCTGCAAAACATCTTGTGAGGTCTTAATATATGTATTAATTTATTCAACTTCAGCATGGTAAGAGTACCTTTTACTCTTGTTGGTATCCCCCAGTCTAGAAACTGTTTGACCCTTTCTGGAAAATTAGCCTTTTATCAGGCTGGTAACTGGCTTCACTAGTTGCAGAGAAATCATATAATCTGAAGCTTCAGAAACAGAATTTCTTTCTTTTTTTAGTTCTTTCGTGTGCACAGGTGAAATGTTTTGAGATTATGTAAGGATTTTGGTTTAGTGGATTTATCTAGTTACTTAGTACTTCCCTGCTTTTCAAGAAAATATCTGGGTGTCTGTAACTACCAACTACTAAATTCTGTAATTTCTTTATATGTGTGTGTGTGCGCGCCAGCATATGTGGAAATCAACTTTCAGTAGTCCTTGTAATACGTGGGTCCCAAGGATAAAACTCGGGTCTTCAGACTTGGTGGCAAGTACATTTTACTGACCTATCTAGTTAGCTTCCTACCAACAAATAAATCTTATTTTTTCTTTCCTTTTTTTTTCTTTTAAAGAATATTAATTTATTGGCAGGATGTGTGTTTGCAAGCCATAGCATGCCTGTAGAGGTCAGAGAACAACTTGCTATATGAAAACTGAGGTTGCCAGACTTGGTACAAGTGCTTTTTATATGCTGAACCATCCCTTTTATGTTTGAGAAAAGGTTTCCTGCTGCCCTGGCTGATCTAGAAATGACCATTCTTCTACTTCAGCCTTCCAGACACTAGTATTATCAACTGAATTTAAAATTAAGATATCTAGGGTAGGGTGAAGATTATCAAAGCCTGAGCACTGGCTGCTCTTCCAGAGGTCCTGAGTTCAATTCCCAGCAACCACATGGTGACTCACAACCATCTATAATGAGATCTGGTGCCCTCTTCTGGCATGCAACTATACATGCAGGCAAATACTATATACATAATACATAAATCTAAAAACAAAAACAAAAACTGGGGCTAGAGAAATGACTCATTGGTTAAGAGCACAACTGCTCTTTCAGAGGACCCTGGTTCTATTTCTATCACCCACACGATGGCTCATAACCGTCTTGCAACTCCAGTTGCAGGGAATCCAATGCCCTCTTCTGGCTTCCATGGGTACCAGGCATGCAAACAGTATACATCTGTATGTATAGGAAAAACAACCATACATGTAAAGTAAAAATAAAGTTAATTCAGATAATTTTATCCCCTCCAACTGTAGATCTGATTTAAGAGATTTGGAGTGGAATTAACACATGGGTACTTTAGAAGTTATTCTTTTTATTTATTTTTAAGACAAGGTTTCATGTAACTCAGATGGGTCTGGATCTTTTATTTTTATTTTTATTTTTTTTTTTATTTTTTTTTTGGTTTTTCGAGACAGGGTTTCTCTGTGGCTTTGGAGCCTGTCCTGGCACTAGCTCTGTAGACCAGGCTGGTCTCGAACTCCCAGAGCTCCGCCTGCCTCTGCCTCCCGAGTGCTGGGATTAAAGGCGTGCACCACCATCGCCCCGGCGGGTCTGGATCTTTCTGTGTTGCAAAGGGTTGCTGAACTTCTGATCCTTCTTCCACTGCCTTTCAAATGCTAGGATTGCAGGCATAGGGCAGAGGTTATGTCCGCATATGGGTAGTTTTGCAAAGCTCCTAGGTATGTTTTATACATAATCAAAATGTAGAATTTCTTCCCTGATATTTTTAAGTTGTTAACTTAGAAGCAATTCTATTATTTGGGAAATAGAGACTTTTTTAGGCCTTTAGAATTTTGGGATTTAGTATAATGGGAATGTTGTCCTCGCCTTGGTTTCTACTCTTTGACCATTTGGAAACATTCTCAACCTGAATTTTAGAGAATCAAGATATTTTCTCTAGTGCCTTCTTTTAAATAAAATATTAGAAATTATAAGTGTAATGCATTTATTTTTAGTATAGGGTGTTTTTTTTCAGAAAAACTATTTTATGAAATAGTAAGCTTGAACTGTTGTTTAATATATTTAGAAATAATATAAGTTTCTAAATAAGAAATGCTTTTGTTTTACGTAACTAATAAATTACTGAACTTTATGCTTCAAGTTAAGTAATATTTACAAGAAAATATGATATTTTGAATTTTACTATTTTTGTACTACGCAGAAATAAAATGGAATTGACAAAAATTTGGAATTAAAAAAGCAAACAGAAAAAGCAACCTTTAAATCTCCCTTTTCTCTTTGTTTAGTTCCTTTTGGAGGTGGATATCTGCTGAAACAATAAGAATTATAAGAGGTCAGTTTCAAATAATACTTTTATGTTTACAATGTAGTAAAACTTTTCATGTGCTAAGATGTTCAACTGTGGGGTTTTGTTGTCTTCCGTGTAGAATATTGGCAAGTGAACAAGGAGTCTGACCATGGTGATGACCCACTACTTTCTCTAATTTAGGACTAGAATCAATGGAAATGGGACAGGCTATGTTAGCTTCTAGAGTGTCTGGACGGCTACTCAGTGATTTTCCAGGCATGACCTCCCTTTTTGGTGGTGTGCATGCTTGTGCTGGGAGCAGTGTTCGGTACAGGTGCTTGTGCTGGGCAGGCAGCAGGCTGTTAAACGCTGAGCTGCTTCCAGTCTATGCCGCCCTCAGAAAAGGCTGTCTGGTACAGGCAGCTAGGAGAGGATAGCTTGAAGATGTCTGTGTTGAGCCTCTTGTTCATCAGCCCAGGGGCCTATTTTATTAACAATGGCCTTCTTCCATAATTTCAAAGAATCGTTACTTGTTCATGAATTCTATTTTTGTGACCATCAAATTTCAATCAGATTATACATTAGAGTGTACCTATGTGTGCCTTAGTTCCCTTGTGAAGGCAGGTGTGGTGGTGTACACCTGTACTCCCCGCTGTTGGGAGGAAGAGGCAAGACAAAGCAATCTTGGCTATAGAAGTTTGGGGTTAGCCTAGCTATGAGATGCTGTCTCTCCCTTGCCTTCTCTCAAAAAATTTTATTTTCCGTTGCTGTATCTTAATATTCTTTAAAATGGTCAGTATATTTGAATTCCCCTTTTTATTTTCCTGTTACTCCCTAACTCCCTTTTTTCTTCTAATGATTTGGTTTTCTTTTAGATTGAACTCTATACAATTTGGAGACTTAAAAAAAAGGGAGAAAGAAATATAATATAATATTGCAATGTAAATGTATAGTAAACTTAGGCAATTTTTTTTCCATTGCTGGGGCTTGAAACTGGGCCTTCTGTGTGTTAAGCAAGTACTTTACCACTGAGTTACTCCTCTAACCTAGAACTTTTATGTTTGATTTTTGTTTTGTTATTTTAATGTACAAATAATGGATTTTCTTTTAACATTTATCATACTTACATATGTCATTGTTTATTGCTCATGCTCACTCTTGCACTGCCCTTTCCATCTCTTGAACTGCTCTTTCCAGTCCCACTTTCCATCTTTATTGTCCCCCTTTCCCACCTCAAATACTCATTTTCTATTTACATGTCATATATGCATGTATATACACACACAGATATGTTTAAGCCAGGATTCTACATAGCAGAAAAAAAAATTTATTTATTTATTTATTAAAGATTTCTGTCTCTTCCCCACCGCCGAAAAAGTGATATTTTGTCTTATTTCCCTCATGTTATCCTGTCTTGTTCTTCTCTACCCCTTCCCTTTTTACTTCTTCTTCCCTCCTCATTGCCTCACTTCTTATATTTATTTATTTATTGCAAGTTTCAAAAATAAAAGTTAGTTTAAAGTATTCTTCAGCTCTCTTCCAAAATGTTCACAGATTTTGTTTGTTTGTACTTATTTTCCTCTGTATATTTTGTATTCCTGGCAATTTGTTATTGTTTTCCTCATGTAGCACAGTGGTTTTTAAGGTTTAGGTTATTATACCTCAGCCTAGAGCTTCTAAAGCAGTTGGTCTAGGATAGGCACAGGCATTCTCACTCTTACAAGTTTCCTAATACACAGCTTCAGGGCCAGGACTCAGTCTGAGAATCTTACTATCCTAGCATTTGAAAATACTATTTTGTCTCTGAACAGATTAACTCTTACTTACAGATCACACCAAAAGAATAGCGAATGTGTAATTTTAACATACTCATTGGTTTTTCCAAACATTTAAAAAAACTTTTGGTGGCAGAGGCATATAATCCTAGTGATTCAGGAGGCTGAGTCAGTAGGACCACTTTTCAAAGCCTGCCTGCTTCAAAGAACAAATTCAAGGTCAGCCCGGGCAACTTGGTGACTCTACCTCAAAACAAACAAACAAACAAACAAACAAACAAACAAACAAACAAGTTCAGAAGAGAGCACTTGTCTTACAGGTGAAGACCTGGGTTTAATCCTCAGAACCATTACCACCTCCTACCAAAACATTGACATTCTTGCTTGTCTGATGTGATCAAACACTGCTCTCCACACATTTTTGTACCTGACAGTGGCTTATAGCATATAAAATTTATCAATAAATGCATTGTTTTCTAATAGTACCATATCTTGGAACACCTTAAAATTAGGATTGGCAATCATTTTCTGAATTAAAGTGATTGCTAAACCACAAATTGTTTACTACCAAGTTGATGTATAGATTTACAGCCAGCCCTGGTTCTCCTGGAACTTGCTTTGTAGACCAGGCTGTCCTCAAACTCACAGAAATCCATCCTCCTGCCTCTGCCTCCTGAGTGCTGCAATTAAAGGCATATGCCACCATTCTTGACTGATTTAATCAATATGTATATAATATATATTATATATAATCAACACACATATGTATATATGATTTATTTATTATGTATACAATGTTCTGTCTGCATGTATCCCTGCAGGCCAGAAGAGGTCACCAGATCTCATTACAGATGATTGTGAGCCACTATGTGGATTTTGGGAATTGAACTCAGTACCTCTGGTAGACCAGCTAGTGCTCTTAACTACTAAGCCATCTCTCCAGCCCTTAAATAAATATTTGAAGGGACGGAATACTTTTTAACTTAGTTTGGTGTATTTTTCTTTTTGTTATGGGACTTTAAACTGGTAATTATATTTTGGTTATGTCTGCTAGCAATTGATAGTAGGTAATCTTGACTAGTAAGGTCCAGTATCTAGAAAAATGGTGTTTGTGATAATGCATCAACTACCTTGAATATAGATTTAAAATTTGTTGGTAGATTCGTAGATTCACTTTCTCTACCAATTCTGTGTACAGAATTGAACAACAAACATAATATTTGGGATAGATTTTTTTTTTTTTTTTTTTTTTTTTTTTTTTTAGAGACAGGGTTTCTCTGTAGCTTTGGAGCCTGTCCTGGAACTTGCTCTGTAGATTAGGCTGTCCTCGAACTCACAGAGATCTACCTGTCTCTACCTCCTGAGTGCTGGAATTAAAGGCATGTGCTACCACTACCCAGCTTTGGAGGCAGATTTTTTAAAATACACAGTTTAAAAAAAAAAAGAAGCCCATGAAAACACAGGTTTTTCTGTTTATTGTTTTACTTTAAATGTGTGTACTTAATAAAATTCATAATGTTTCATTATATGGTGTTTGGAATCAGGTGATAATTATGTAGTTTGAACACTGAGTTTCAACAAGTGCCATTCACCTAAACTCTTAGCCCCCACTACCCACAGTGCTACAAATGAGTCTCACCACAGCTTTTGCTTACACTGCAGCGTTCCCATCCATCATAGCTGTCCCTTCAGTATCACTGAATTAGTGAAGAGATGGAGAATGGTTTATAGTGTGTGAGAAATGTTTCTCTGAGGAAAAGAAAACCTTCAATTTATAGATAGAGTTACCGTGATCTTTCTCTTCCTCTCTTGGAGGAAGCAAAAGTGCTGGAATAGAGTAGCTAAGGAAGCCAGTTCTCAGACTCACTCAGTCTTGTTTCTGAGGGCCACTTGTGGTTTATGACTTTTTCTCTTGAGTTTCCTCACCTATATGTTGTTGCCTATAGCTTGCTTTTCTCTTTATTTTCCCTGCAGCTGTAAGAGCTTATTTTCAAAGAATAATGGATGAACCATCTCCGTTGACCAAAGCTCTAGAGCTGAACCAGCATTCCCGTTTCATAATTGGGTCTGTGTCTGAAGACAACTCGGAAGATGAGATCAGTAACCTGGTGAAGCTGGACCTACTAGAGGAGAAAGAAGGCTCTCTGTCACCAGCTTCTGTCAGCTCAGATACGCTTTCCGACTTGGGGATCTCTGCTTTACAGGATGGTTTGGCCTTTCACATGAGGTGAGAAGAGCTGCATCATGGGTAATGTGTTTGCTATCTTGTTATTTTCACTCTCATGTTCTGAAAAAATAACTTCACCTGCATTCAGTGGGCCCATTTCCCATGAATAGGAAATTCTGCACTTTGGGGAGTATCTTTTCCTACATGTTCCTCTTAGCTTTTTTTCCCCATCCTTTCTGCATACTAGCTCCTTCAATATGACCCAGTGAATGAAAGTTAGGTGGAGGAATTCCTGTAGTACTTTAACAATGTTGTAACTTTCGTTGATTGATAGGAATTTTGCAGATTTGGCCAAATTTGTAGTCATTTCCCCCTCTTTGACGCCCCCCCCCCATCAGTGCTAGAGATTTAGCCCAGGGCCTTACGTATGATAGGTAAACACTGTACCACTGATCTACATTCTTAGCCTTTGTGGGTTTTGTTGCTTATGTTTTGAGATGGGGTTCTATTACTCCTGGTTGGACTGGAACTTCTTATACAGAGCAGGCTGGCCTGGAGCCTGTTGAGACCTTCCTGCTTTTGCTTCCTGAGTGCTGGGATTGTACTGTGGACACTTTGTCTTTTTTATTTGCTTTTTGAAACAGGGTCTATTATTTTTTTTTCTCTTTCTTTTTTTTTTTTTTTTTTTTTTTTTTTTTTTTGACAGGGTTTCTTTGTGTAACAGTCTTGGCTGTACTGGAACTTGCTTTTTAGACCAGGGGGGCCTCAAACTCATGAGATCCACCTGCCTCTGCCTCCCAAGGGCCGAGATTAAAGGTGTGCACCTCCACCACCCTGCTTGAAACAGTGTCTAATATAGCTCCAAATTCTCTTGAATTCTTGATCCTCCTGACTCCACTTTCTAAGTACAAGTTTTACAGGTATGTGGCAGCTTACTCATGTTAAAGTAACTGTTTTTTGTTTTGTTCTGGGACAGGGTCTTAGATGTAACTCAGGCTGGCCTCAAGCTCATTATGTAGCCCAGGCTGACCTTAAGTTTCTAATTTTTCTGCCTTGGTCTTTGGAGTGCTGGGGTACTGGTATGAGCAACCATGCCCTTTGATTGATGGTTGATTAGATAACTAGTTTAGTCATTTGCGTTTTTAGTTCTTAGGTTTAAAGAGTTTGAGAAATTACACACACACACATACACACACACATCACACACATAGAGTAAAACAAATAAAATGCTATCCAGGTGATTCTAATGTACACTGAGGGTAAATATAGTTTTAACTAAGATTAAACAAACACAGGGTAGGCACTGCTACTGTTATTACCTTAATATTAATGGGTCATAAAATAATTAGGCTCCTTTTTGTATATCAAGATATTGATTCTAGCTGGGCGGTAGTGGCACATGCCTTTAATCCCAACACTTGGGAGGCAGAGGCAGGCGGATCTCTGTGAGTTTGAGACTAGCTTGCTCTACAAGATCTAGTTCCAGGATAGGCTACGCAGAGAAACACTGTCTTCTCACTGTCCCCCACACCCCCGCCAAAAAAACTCCTGATTCTATAGTAAAGTTTCATACTGGTAACTTTACTATGGTTCTGGTAATTCTTTGTTGTTACCCATGGGGCTCAGAATCCTAGCTTCTGTAAGATGAAGCAGTTAGTGTATATTAATAATCACTCCCATTTAAGCTATAAGGAGGTCAGAGGAGTAAAGCAACTTAGATATACTTTACTTCATGATTCCTGGGACTTGCAGGGAAACAGATAACTTACCTAAAGTTTTAGTGCTTTTTAAAATATATTTGTCAAGACAGAATCTCTTATTCCCTAGGCCGACATGGGCTTGTTTTGGCTTAGCCTCCTGATTGCTCTGATTACAAGCACAGACTACCTTGTCTGACTAGCTGAATGCTTTTGTTATAGGATGAGGGGAAATAGCTTGGTTAAGGTTGAGAATTCAAACTCAAATGTTCTAGTTGCATTTTTGTAATTGTTTTACTCTGTTCACCGGACTTTACAACTTTTTTCTTTTTTGTAAGTATTTCTGATAGTTTTGTAAGTATTTCTGATAAAGTTATTTTTCTTGAGTTAGTGAACCAAGTATTATACCTAACTTTAGATCAAAAAGAAGAATAGCATCAGGGACTAGAAACTAGGACTTTACTAAACATGTTTTGCTACTTTATGATTTACTTAGGCTGACCCTTAGGTTAGTACTGGTTTGGAAGTGTGTGGGAGTTGTCATGCTGAGACTACTCACATTTGGAGGACAGAGGACTGGTGGTACTAAAACTTTAGCAATAGGACCGGAGGAGGTGGTGCACGCCTTTAATCCCAGTGCTTAGGAGTCAGAGCAGGCAATTCTCTGTGAATTTGAGGCTATTCTGGTCTACAGAGTGAGTTCTAGAACATCCAAGGCTACGTAGAAACACACTGTCTCAATACCACCATCATCACTACTTTTATAATGTAGTATATCATCCCATACAACCAAGAATTAGTCTCAAAATGTCATAGTCCCCTACTGAGAAAGATTAGGTTAGTGTTAAAAAGTCTTTGAAGTCACACTGATCTTTGAGAACTTTTGACTAAATTAATTTTATGTGAAACATGAGTTATTGAATTAGGACTTTGAGTTTGGCAATGGTGCAATCAGGCTATTACAGGAAACTCAGCTGATGATATCCTGAGGCATTATGTAGGTGCCAAGCCATTCCCAAGGCCCTGGCTGTCAGGCAGAGGCAGTGTGGTCAGGGGCATGACTGCAATGTCTTGGGTGCCTCAATGTTGCCAGAACTCTCACGGTTGTTGCTCATGGCAGGAGTGTGATCAGCAGATGGAAGAGGAGGGTTGCCAGTTTCCACTGACTACTCAGCTAAGGTTCCAAATAAAACAAGATCTCTTCCTTGATCCATTTCACCCATGGACACGACAGTATCTTTGGGAATAATTTAAATTGTTTCGTTTGATAGGAAGATTTCTATGATATCTGTACCTAATTAAATTGTATGTGACCATTGGCAATCCATAATTTTTCCTTGAACTCATTTACTCTCTAAAAAATGAAGATGATGATTCAGTCACTGCTTTCACTCTTTGAATACTAAATATAAACCTGTTGAGTTTATTAGCAGCTCCTAGAATGAGTAGCCTGATCTTTCACACATGATAGTGGTTACGGGAACAGGCTCATTCCTCACAAGTGTTAAGTAGGGCCATCTGAAACAAAGTGAAATAATTGCTGTGATTTTGATTTTGGGTGCTAATTAGTGGTCTGATGGGTAAGCAGGACTAGAAAAATAGACTTTTCTAGGGATGGAGAAGACATGCACCATGTTTTTCCAGAGTCACTGAAAGATTGGATAAATCACTTTCTAAGCTTTATCACCCACATATTTGAAAATAAGGGCTTAAAAAATAGTTACAGCTTGTTGGGAGCAGGCAAATCTCATTGAAGAACTGCTTAGACTTTTTACCGTTTTATAAGATCTACCTGGGCTTATCAGCTAGAGTTAGGATATGTCTCTGAAAGTCATTAATTAATTGAATATTTTAGAAGACTGTTAAAAGACTTAATGTGTACATCTTAATTTTGGCAACTTGTATGTGATTTGGTGACATCTAATAGAATTGTCTTATTTGTTTTAGTTTTGGTAGTTTCTCTGATGCCACTTAGGGTCAGGTGGTCCTGCATACTTAAAATGCACAAAAGGATGTTAGCCCGTCCTGTTAGTTAAACAAGATTGTAAACAGTTCTGCCAACTAGTATACTGAATTCCTGGCTAAAGTCCAAGTAGAAGCAAACTATTTCCCATATTTTGGTCTTTAACCTCTTAGGATACTGTGATTTTTTTTTTTTTTTTTTTTTTTTTTTTTTTTTGAGACAGGGTTTCTCTGTATCTTTGGAGCCTGTCTCAAAAACTAGCTTTTGTAGACCGGAATGACCTCGAAGTCACAGATATCCACCTGCCTCTGCCTCTGTCTCCTGAGTGCTGGAATTAAAGGTGTGTGCCACCACTGCCCGGCTTGATACTGTGATTCTTAAACTTACTTCATGCTTATATTTGAAACTTCATCTCATTTTTCTCATAAACACCTTACAATAATGTGGTCAAAGTACTGAATGGTCAGCTTAAGGACTTTGTTATCATCTGAGTGCACATGAATTGAATGTAAAATATACCATAGCCTGGGTTCAAGGACAAAGTGGACTCTGTGAAAGAGAATTATATTCCTGCCTCTCATCTTCTGAAAACTGAAAATTAAGTAATATATGTTTGCCTAAGATGTTTGACTCTTCAGAAGAATCTAGAGAATGTTAAAGTTCTCTCTCTCTCTCTCTCTCTCTCTCTCTCTCTCTCTCTCTCCTTTTTTAATTTGTTCGTTTGTTTTTTCAAGACAGGGTTTCTCTATGTAGCAGCTCTAACTGTCTTGGAACTTGCTTTATAGACCAGGCTGGCCTTAAACTCACAGAGATCTCCTGCCTCTGCCTCCTGAGTGCTAGGAATTAAGACATGACCCACCACTGCCCGACAAAGCTCTTTTGTAGTTAGAAATTACCTGTAGTTTCTCCTGTGACACCAGACAGACAGTGTATGAGTAAGTTTGGAATTAGTTCTCAGATAACTTTTTTCACTGTTGTTAACGTAAAACAAAACAAAACAAAAAAAAAACAAACCCATATGGAGTTCTGTGCATGTGTTGTCTCTAGGATATAATGATGTTAAGGAAAGGTTCATAGAGAATCTGGTATTGGTATTGAGTGATGGCCTGTTTTTTTGCTGGTATAGCTGTTCTGTTTTTCACGTTACCTTTTTTTATGTATTAGTGCTTGGGATTGAACCCAGGGCCTCATGTTTATTTAGTTCTGTTATTGAGCTGGACTGCCCATCCCTTAATAACACTCAGTCATGTTTTCTAGGTGACTGATTAGAAAAATAATGGTAATAATAGATAGCATTCATAAAGTGCTTTAGTGTATGCCAGACACTGCTCTGTTTTGTGTGGGGGGTCACACTTAATCTTTAGCACAACCTGTGAGGCAGGTGTTGTATTATCATTCCC